CCTCCGTGCTCTAGAAAAGCGTTGCAGCATCTGCAACTTCTTGGAAACCACCTGGGCGTGCGGGCTTCGAAGGGCGCGTGAGCAGAGCTCGAACGGCACTCGCCTGCAATCTCTGGGGTTGTACAGTGGTGAAGCACTGTTCAGTTTCATATTCCTTGCAGAAAAAAAAAAGGTATGCTGCTTAGTCTTATTTTACCCTAAATACCTGTTAGCAGTAGCTCCACCAACATTTTCCACAAGGGAAGAACACACTGAAAAGAACGCTGTAGCCACCTCGTGCTATAACGTTTTATTTATTGGCTTGTTTAACCTCGTCCCTTGAGCTCTTGTAACTCTACCAGAATCTTAGTCATGAAAGAAAAAAAGGCAATAGGATTTAAAAAACCACAATTCTAGCTTTTGTATCAAGTGTCTTACAAACTGTACTCTCTAACAGTGGGCAACATGCTTTGTAAAATGAAACAACACAAAAACCAAGGGAAAGGAAGGGTTTTCAGACGATATTTGAAAATGCTGGGGGTGGGGGGTGGGGTGGGGGGTTCAGCAAGGAAACAACAGAAGAAGAAACAGGAGATCAGTGGCAAAGTAGTTTAAAAGTTTGTTTATATAAGAAAATATAATAGCTCCCTGGAGACACCTTACTGTGGGATAAAAGTGATTTTATTCCAGAATTACGAATTCACTTTAGAAGTGCATTAGTTATTCTGGTACAAAAATGATTTAACTTCTGCCGGAACGCCTCTCCTGGAGAGCTTGTCCTGACAAAGGACCTCTACTGCCCATGGTCCATCTCTGCGGACATATGCCCCAGCAGAAACCATAGGGAATAAAACCACAAATAGAGGTTTCATGAGGTCACCTGCAACAAGTATTTTTACTTTTAAAAAAACGGGGCAGCTTTTCCCATTGTTGTTTAAATGTACAACAATCCATTATATCAATATTCAGGACGGAGGAAGCGGGGAGAAAGGCAAAGCCATTCATGTTGGACCTGTGGAGCTGCACTGGTCTTCCAGTGACTGAACCTAGACAAGCAGAACTTGCAGTCTGCAAAATGGACGCTGAAGTATGGGGAATTCCCACAAAGTCTTTGTAGGCATCTTCAGCTTCATTAAATAGCCTCTATTATACTCAAACTGGGACACTTTCTTAGGCATAGTCTGCAGAAATTACAAGAAAAATCAAGGCTAAAATTAACATAATGATTAAGGACTTCACCCAGCCTATGGGTCAGACATCATATATTCTTTCACACTGGCAGATTTTCAGATTCTTGACAGTCTCCTCCTACTTCAAAAAGAAAAGTTAAAAATGGCAGAGGGGGGAAAAAAATCCAGTATTTTAAGACAGACGCACTGAGCTCGTGATGCAAGTGGAACACCAGTATACGCACGCCTCATGATCCAGAGAACACATCCAGGTTTAGTCTGAGCAGACCCTGAATACCACAGCTGTTTTGGGAACAGAGTGCCCAGAATTACAAAGCTTCCTGGTGCATTCCACTTCCAAATTTGGCAAAGGCAATCTTGGCCCCGTGCTTCACAGGTACCAAAATTAATATGCTGTTCTCTGAAAGCTAGCTTAGTTTTCAGAACCACCGAAGTGCATCCTATTTCAGACGGTTCACGCGTGCTTTGGCAGAGCCAACAGTAAACTGGCAAAGTCAAGAATTCAGGACCAGGACAACCTCCTGGCCCCAGTTCTCAGGATTTTAGGTTGCCAAAGTAATCCTTATCCCGCAAAATCCATTACAAACAGCTCACATCAGCCTGTTCCAGGAGCAGCTTTCTTGAGGGTTATAACACCCTCAAAGACCTTTAGCTGGTCCCTTGCCATGCTGTCACAGCAGGCTCAGCTGTCCCCAGGCACACTGTATTCCCCAGCTCACAGGTGGAGGTCGGCAGTACCGGGGCAGGCAGGCAACATGTCCTGCCCTTCAAAGGAGACGGTTTGCTCTTCTAAAGCTTCCTCTGACTCTGAGCCCAAGCCAGCTGGACAGCAGTTGAAAGACTCACTCCTTCAGCAGCACCCGGTATCTGGATACTCCAGCCCAAAACAAATAGAAACATTTAAAATTAAAATAGAAAAAGAAAAGGCGATAAAAGGAATAAATTGTTCCTCACTGGCCTAAAGAAGAGAGCTCTATTCCTCCTTATCACTCCATATCTTCCTTGAACTGGCTTCCTAGGCAACTAATGCAAAGGATTTTGCTGGATCGGGTCAGCCCACAGGTCCATGTCCAGCCCAGCAGTGCCAGCTCGCAGGAGTCCACGCCTGCCAGCTGAAGAGGAACACTAAGAAAGACCATACAATAACTATAAAGCAATATGGCCACAGGAGGAATTTCTTCCTCGTTTCAGACGCCTCTTTGCTGAGCTATCTCCTAACTCTAATCAGGAATGTCTGACAACACTGTCCTTTCTCCCTTTATAAGAAGTCACTGTGGTCTTCGACAGATGCTTTGGAGAACAATCAGAACTCATCAAACTCTCTCAATCTGCCCAAATTTGAGAGTAAGACAAAGTTAATGGACCATCTAACCCCACCTACAAACCACTGTGAAAAGGGAGTTTTAAGCCTTCATTTTAAGGCCAGTGCTGCCACCCAAGATCAGCAGCAGAATTCATGAGATTTCAGGTACTCTCAGCTCATCCCTCATGCCACCACAATTCCCTAAAGGACAATGAGAAACTAGTTAATCCCCACTTTGCTCTTTCCCCATGTTTACTTGCACTATAAGCACCTAGCCACCCAGTGTCCCCTTCTCCAGGAACTGAATGTCACACTGTATGCACAATAATAATATGGTTTTGACCACCCAGTGACCCATTTCAGAAGATCTAATGAAAAATGTAACCACAGCTGAATGAACTGTACTGCTGGGTTCCTTTGATTCTTTTCCCTCACCCCTTTACAAGAAGAACCTAATTTCCTGTTTAATATATTCAATGCCATAATTAAGAAGAGATGAAGTCGAGGCAATGCCTCCTATCCTCCCTCTTTTCAATCTCTCTCACACCCCTTCCCCAGAAGAACCTGACCCGTTCCCTTGGTGTGCTATTGCTGAATACCACGAGTCACCTGCCTGCTGCAGAGTAACTTTTAAACTCCAAATCCAAAGTAGCAAAGGAGGAAAAAACACAGCCTTATCTCAAATATCAAGAGTCAATTCCTTTCAACCACAGCATCCACAAAAGGCAAACTCTGGGCTCCGCTTGCATTCCTGCTGGCCAGCTCATTGTCTTCAGAGCTGCAGAGACCTAATGCTTGGCTGTGAGCTTTCAACCCCCCCTCAAGAAGAAGCATTTGGACATGGTCTGCTGGACACTGGCTGTGGTTCAGTGCAGCAGTGGAAAAAGTCTCCCCTCTCTATCCCCTACCTTTCGCCCCTCCCTTAAAGACTTGAAAGATGACAAAACAGCCACACATTCAACAGCCACAACTGGATTTCTTTTGGCAAAAAACTCTAGAGTTCTGCAGAACTGTCACCCCTCCAGCACTGGCAGAGAAGACATCACACTTCTGCCTTCAGTCTGCCTGCACTAGGAAAAGCAGCTGGGAGCAGAGGACCAGCACAGAAGGGGACTGCCCAACGAGACATGGAGAACACATTCCAGCTAGCTTTTTTTTTTTAAATCAAAACTGTAACATTATAGCACCACTATAGCCACAGCACCAGTATATTGAGCACTCCAGAGTGCCTTGTGGGCACTAAAGAAAGCCTGACATGCTAATGTCTTAGTAAGACCACTACTTCAGGAGCAAGCCAGATCAAACCTTCAGCCTCAGGAATCACTGCAGGTGCAGCTTTCAGCCACAAAACCTTTGCAGCTTAGGGGAGAGGTTGTTAGGGTTCCCCTCCCTCCCCCCAAACAGAAACACAAAGAGAAAGAAGTCAAGGAACACATCCAGATTTTGCTGCTACAATGACACAGTCTCCTGTATCTGTGGAAATGAGAGCAGGATGATGCTTGAATTCTTGCCCTGTAACATAAAACATCTAGAAAAATAGACAAGCGATTTTGGAATAACTTGGAAATGGGCAATGGAAAACTATCCACCAAGTTATTTTTCAAATTTTGTGGCTTGCTTTCACAGTCTTAAGTTCATGCTGAGTTAAGAGCTTAGAGAATAGAGCTTTTCAGAAAACTGAAGCTGTTATCCTTCACCCACTTGCATACCATCTGGAGTAGGATAGGAATGAATGGGACAGGACAAGACGCAGGGCTGCCCAAGCACATGCAAGTCCTTAAAATTAAATTCACTGAGCCCATCTATAGGGAAGGTGTCCTGTCATGTGTCGTAGAGCAAGAAGATTTAGGAAGAACATCCCAGTGACACAGCTGTATCATGTCCACAGCTTGGGCACCTCTTCATGGCATAGCCTTTTACATCCCCAAAGCTACCACATCACCTTTGCTACAGGCAGAGAGGTACCTGAAGAGGTGAACTAATGAAATTTGGATTTCTGAGGGCCCATCCTCTTTTAACCAATGTATTTGGGGCCTTAACAAGCACGAGGACCATGTAAAGCCTTTCCTTTCGCACCACAGCCTTTCCCTGCAGCAAGGCAACATGCGGATGGTCACTATTTCTCCTTTACTTTTTCCCCACAGGCTTTATGTACTTATCTTAAGTGTTCCAGCTCTCTTCTGGATAGAACTGAAAATTGAGAAACCATCCCAAAGGTAATTATTAGGGGAATTCCTTGCCACAGCCATAAGGGAAAGTACTCCACAGCAGGGACAACATGTAATGTGGCACGTTATGCAGCCAATTTGCCTCTCACAGAGGACAAGGGGAATTAGAGCAGATATCCCAGGTAAGAGAGAGAACAGGGGCAGGCCCATAACTCATTTCTGCCAAATGCTTTCCTTATCTCACATTCCTACATTGCTCCTTACCAGATTACCAACCTCAAATGGTAATAGAAAGTCAATGTGTACAATGAACAGCAAGAGATTACAGAGAAAAACAGGGCAGAGAGACTGTTAACCTACCAGATCTGTCCAACATTGACCAACGAGAGGTAGAGAACCCAGAGGACAGACATGAGGACCATGTTTGCACATCCAGTTATCAATACGAAGGCTGAAGTTGCGAGGCCAAGCAGGGAGAGGCAGTCCAAGGTGCTGTCCATGTCTGACCAGTCCAGAAACCAGATGATGGTTGGTGCATAGCTCAGAGCATCCAGGTTTATCTTCCCTTTGAAATACTTCTTGACATTCTGCAGGTACAGTTTACAAGGGAGCAGCCCCTTCTCTCCTATTAGCTGCTTGTTTTGATGATATGCCACCAGAAAGGCCACAACTAGAGGGAAACAAGGAGGGGAAAAAAACCAAACAGTATGAGAAATCATCCAGGCTGAAGTACATATCTTGAGTCCAGAGTTACAGAAGTATATTCATGCCTCGGGAAGGAATTCATTCACATGTCCTGATCTCCATTAAAATACAACACAGTCATTTCTATTAACCACAATGCAGAAGGCAGAGGAATTCTATAAATACTGTCTCTGCCTTCACACCAGGAAACGGCACAGAGTCTGTTTTGAGATAATTTTCTCCTCAACAGCTGTAAGGGACATGCCACTTGCTTCAGGCAAACTCAGCAATGCACTTCTGGGAAAAGCTCCCTGTAACTGAGCGACCTGACCCAATGTAGCAACAGTAGGCTCAGCCCAGCTCCATTAGACTCTGCATGACCTTAGGTTAGTCACATACCCTATTCATCTCCTAATGCAGATGAGGAAAACAGTTTAATTGCACTGCAGCGTATGACTGAAAGTAATGCATTAACTTCAAGACTTTCAGACAGAATTTCCTTTCTACAACAAGCATTTGGAAAGGAGACACCGAGAAACCCTCAGTTCACGCACAGATAGTGGGGAGCGCAGCTGAAGCAGCCAGCAGAGCACACACAACTCCCTTCAGCTCTGCGGCAGCAAAGACACAGCTGTACTTTCTGACCCTTCCTATTTCAGTTTCACAAAACATTTTGCAGTGTAAATAGACAACAGCTCCAGCATGGGTTTTGTTGTTGATGGTGATTTACAATGTCTGCTGTTCCCAGTACAAACAACCCAGGGCAGACTGACAGCAGATTGTGCCTGCAAGGTTATGCTTTGACTTTAGAGGACAACATATCAACACTATCTGTGCATCTGTCAAGTACTGGATTATTTCCTTATATTGAAAACACTTAATATTTCAAAATATTGTTAATGAGACAGCTTAAACTCATACACACCATTCAAGAGGCATCCAAAGGACACCTTAATTCTTTTGGCAGTGTAACAGTTAATGGTTATACATTGCAATTGCAGAATACAGTAGTTATGCTATGGGTTGACCTTCTGAATCCTCTCACATCCTGGTAGGTTGGAAATACAAAGTCTTAATATTTTCCTGTCCTCTAAATTGCTACTTTTTACATGTCACTACAGCTCTCTCATTTATAGTGTCTATGCTCTTGCACTGGACAATCTTAGAACAGCCAGATGCTTTTTTTAACAGCACATAAGCAATTTAATTACAGATCATAGACCTAGAATTTGATGTCCTACAGAGAAAGTTGGTCAGCTTCTAGGGATTATCTCATATTTTAGGAATCTCCTCCAGTTACCAATTTGCAGTTCGTAACTGCAGTAATCTCCATTTCTCAGAAAAAAATGATGAAGGCCAACATTTCCTGATTAGGCTCCATACATTTTGCTCCCAGCAGCTAACTTACCCATCTTTCAAACATTACCCAAACACCAGCCACGTCACATGCAGCAATACCAGAGGTCTTGCAAAAGGCCGATTTGTTCTTAGTTAATGATCAAATCTGTTTCCCTCCTTATCTGAATACTGTCATTCTGCAAACAAGAATTCTGGTGTCCATCTGGCTGGTGTCTCTCACTGGGAATGCTGGTGGAAAGTCTATGTGAAACTATACCCCGAGTTCAGGCCTGGATTCCCATTTCTTTGAAGTTTGACTAGCAACCCAAAGTCTGCAGCCCCAGGGAATAAAAATAAACGTCCCATTCCCCCCAGACACACACAAAGGTCTCCAGTGGATTTCAGTTAATCCACTTAGCCCTTACTCCATCTCTTTGCACATGGCGTGTATTTTGTTCTCATTTGAAAAAGCACTAAAACTCACAATCCAATGCATATCTGAGGTCACTGGGAGGGTTCCCATTGATTTCAACAGATCCTGAATCACAGCGCTAACACAATAAAGTTGGGGGTTTAATTGGCTGTGTCTCTTTCCCTCCGTCTTTTATACCCAGTGAAGGACTTTACAAACTGATAAAAGACACATAGAATATTTTACTCAATTATGGACAGGGAAGGACAAGAGAAAAACTGATCACAACATTAAAGAATCAGTTTTGGACCCCAAATTAAGTGTTTTATATTTTCGAGTATTCATATTTTTCTACCAACACTCAGTTTGACACAAGTGTGTAATCAGAAAGCCTGACACGTGAAACCAGCAGAAATATAATGCTTCTGAGCCTCAAACAACTTAATATCTTAATTTTTGGTTTTAAAAAAAAATAAAGACCAACTCTGCTTTAGAACTCCATGGCTTGATTTCCCTTGATTAGCACTGCAATTTGCTGCACAGTCTTCCTAAAGTGCTAATCAAATTCACCTCTAAATGCTACAGAAATTGCTGCCCCAACCCATAACTGCTAAGCAGCTTTTTTTCTAAAAAAGTCTAAATTAGACCCCTGCACAGTATGCAAGATAAACAAGGAAAGGGTAAATTAGGAAAAACAAACTATAGCAATTGCAGAAAAGTACACATTGTATGTACAAAATACTGTACAGCCTTTTTAAGTCTGAAAGCAGCAAAGACTACATTATAGGTTGGCATGAACTGCACATCTAAAGATTGCCCAGTTTGGGCTCCAAAGTGGTTTTCTCCCAGAGCACCAATTTCTCACAAGACGCTGCGCTGCTGATATTTCGCACGTTACCATTTCATGACTAAATCCCATCGGCAACGGCCCTAATTTGGTGAAGAACTCACCTAATACCCAACACAAATCCTGACCGTTCCAACCTACGCTTCGATCCATCACTCTCCCAAGCCATCGGGGCCCACGTCTGGCGAGCGCCGTTTATTGCTCACACGTGTGCAGCGTTTCCTAGATGTGCTGCTCCGTCCTGGATCCAGCTCCCTCTCCTGGACACTCCCCAAGCTGAGCCGCTGTCTCACACCACTCCGTGCTCCCTCTCCACTTATCTCCAGCATCTTTGGAGCAAATTTGAAGGGCGCATCCCTTAGGCAGCACCCGTTTCTCAAACCCCACCGCCAAATCATCTAGACCTACTCTCCCAGGGCGCCAGCTAAGTCTTCAAGAGGCATCAACCTGTAGGCAGCGGTTCCCGTGTTACCGGACACATGTAATAGTTGAAACTAAAGACAGATACTGCAAAGGATTTCAGCAACAGAGGAGATGCACACATCCAGGGGGAAAAAGGGAAGTTACTTATCAGCTTGTCATTCCTTCCTCTCCCGGAACCCCCCTCAAGAAACCATATCCTTAAATCGACTGTAACACAGACCCTGCTCCCTTCTCTCTCCCTTTGACCTTGGCTTAGTCGGGGCGGGGGGGCAGAAAGTCCATTTTGCCCCCAAAGCCTGTGCTTTTTTTCCTCTTCCTTAACCTCTATTCTGAAACCTCTTTCCCTTTGGCCTCGTATTTGGGGATTTTCCACTCTCCATCTTCCCACTCCCTCCAGGTAAACATGGTCAAACAAGTGTGCTTCCACCTGGGGCACTGGCTGGCATGCTCGCTGCAATGCCGGGGCATGGGGCGAGGTTAATCACTTCTCGTGTTTGTCCTGTAGCTTCTTCCTGGCAAGAGAGTGGCAGAGCAGTTCTATTACATGAACCAGAATTCAGCGGTTAGTAAGTCAGCTGATGCTGGGGGGACCCACCTACGCAGCATGCTGGGTTTAACCATGCCATGGGGTCCAAGGCACGGATGGAGTCTGCTTGAGCAATGGCACTGCCTCCACCTCAGCCTCTCCAAACACCCTGTAAAACTGTGCTCTTGGCTGTCTGGAAGGCTCGTGCCAGCCCAGGGATGTTCTGATCTTCAGCAGCAAAGAGAGAAGGGTCTTACCCAAAGGGATGCTGAAATGGCATAAGAGAGTCTGAGCGGGCAGCCGCTGAGCACCGCTGTTAGCCAGGCAAGTGGGCAGCATCTCAGTCATCAACAGAGCTGCAAAGCTCTGCATCCCGCTCAGGAGAATCTGCCTTCCTCCTCAGCAAACCCGGCTCCTGGATTTGCAAACTTCAGGCCATGCATTCATCGGCATCTCCTGTCAGTTCAGGATTTGTTTCTTCCATCAAGAACAGCAAACACTTGCATTCGTATGTACCAGGCAGCTTGCCTCCACCAGCTCCCAAGCTGCCTCCAGCTCAGGCACGTACTGCACTGAGGAGTCCACAGCAGATTCCCTCAGGATGGAGCAAGCTGAGGCAGGGCTTGGTCCAGAGTCACCCACTCCCTCCAGCCCCTTTAGCAGGCCAAACTCCTCAGAGTGACTCTCACTGTCTTGTTTCAACTTACAAAATGAGAGCATAGCTGGGAAGGGTGCTTTTTCAGAGTTCAGAAAACATTTTGCCGACCAGGATGCAGAAGCCAATGTTTGCCCATAGCTATCCTTTCTGGCATCACAGTTGGGAATGATGTGAGGCCATGGCTGGGCTCCTAATCCAGGGACATCCCCTGCAGACTGCCAGCACAGCTCTGCACACCTCCAAGTCTCCGGACCCAGCATGAAACCCCATCACCTTGTCCATCACCCCTGTGGCTGCTCACTGCCTGGACTTTTTACCAATACTTTCTGGATTTGGGCATCTTCAGCCCATGCCAGTCTCTTCTGTTCCACCTGGAGCACTTTGCCATTCTTCAGACTATTGTGGATTGAAAAAACAGCCTCAGTGACTCCCATGCTCCCTCCCACTCAGGAGGCAGACGGAGCCTTTGACAGCTCACATGGGAGCACGCTCCTCTACCTGCTGTGAGCTGATCTTTACATAAGTAATACATGTAAATTGTCATCAACTGCTAATAGACCTTCACTACTTATCCTCACCTCAGAAGGTGCTTTACTGTACTTTTCCATTAACTTCCTCCCCTCCACCTTCTCCTTCCCCTCCCAGCCTCCTCTCTCCCCCCAAACTGAAGGGGTTCCTTGTTCAAACCCACATGCTACTAATAAACACAACCCAAGCATGCAACACAAGAGTCACCCATCTGAAATTATTTGGTCTATCCATATTGCCCTGTCACCTCAGTT